TTTCTCACATGTTCAAAGCTTTGAAAAGTGAAGAAGAAAAGTAGGACCCAGCAGAAAGCCTTATTTGCTCATTCTTAGTTATTAGGACATTCCAGAAAGCAGGGATGGATATCTTGTGTAAAGATGGCAACTCTTGAAATTTGCTGTACTCCTTTTCCACCAAAGAAGCCACCTGATGCACATGAGATCTGATGCATAGCTCAGAATAAATCTCATTTAAAGTTTCCCATAAGGCTCTGAGCCATCTCTTAGAAAGAAGGACCTGCGAGTTAGGGTCCATTCAAAACTATATGTTTATATGTGCTCTAATGGGGACTGTGTTTGAGTTTTAGGAATAAAGCATTTGGTTAGTTTAACCCATGTGCTAGGATTTCCTTAAGCACTCTGGAACAGATATATGTTTCATGTATTTTTGCATCCTCTATATATTTTTACATTCCATATATTTTTTGAAGACTGCCATCCTATTCTATTAATTTAGGATTAGGAAAACGGTATTCTCTATTAGCTGACAACATGCATCAAAGTGCCTGCCTATAGGGGGAACTGAATTTTAAAGGTTCCAATCTGTGATGAGTTAACATCTCCCGAATACTTAGGGAGGGAGACTATGCCTAAATTCACAATTTAAGAATTGTTATGTAAAACATAAAATATATAAAAGATGCTATAAGATATAATTCCTATTTTGATGATGATGATGATGATGATGATGATGACGACGATGGTGATGATAAAGCCATGGGAACATAACAAAAACTTTAAGCTGAAAGGGATCTTAATGATCATTTACTATAGCTAGCTAAGTTTGTAGATGGGGAGCTGTGACAATAGAAATATTTAAGGTACCTGAACGTCACAGTACTGCTTGGTAGCAAAGTAGGAACCAGAATGCAAATATTCTGAATTCTAGCCTAGTGCCATTTCACCAACGTGATGCCATGAGGACACTATTTTATGCATCAATTTTAGGACACATCCAGGCTACTAATTAGAGGTCTATATTTTGCTCTATCAACGTCTGGGTGACTAGGGACAAGTAAATGAGCTACTCTGACCTCAACTTCTCAACCAAAGGAGTGAAACACTAATCAATACCCTGTCGGATTCAATGAGGATTCATTCAGACGAGAAACAGATGCTCTGGGAAATACAGCTACTCAAAGAAAGGAATGTTCTCAGAATGATGGACCAAGAAAGCAGCTCTATCTTTGGCAACTTTAAAAGGACTAACCAGACCCCAAACATGTAACCCAGACATCTAATCAACTAGCTCCAGTAGAGTATAGACAAATTAAGAACATAATTTAAGAATAATTTAAGAACACTGTAAAAAACACTATGTAATTCAAGTAATAACTACTTGATTAGACCGAGTTTTAAAGGGAAGATAAATTTCCATGTCCCTGGCTTAAGGTGGGTTGTGTAAGATGGGTAAAACACAGCATCTTATTCTATGTCTTTTGCTCTATAATTTATTATTTTTAAAGCACTCATTTCTCATGCTTACCCACTAGAAAATGTACTTTTCAGAGTTAGGGACTGTATTCTTCAACTCTTTTTTCTCTCCTGCCTGCCTTCCAAAACATTCACTGAGTGTCTAACTGTATGCCCACTACGTTCCCAATGCCTAGCACACTGTTTGGCACGTGGTAAGGACTCAGTTTTATTTAAAGATATGAATGAATAAATCACAAAAGCTAAAGACATTCTCCAAAGCACAGAAACTTCTGCATGTTTGACTCCTCCATTTAAACCATTAAAATTCTACCTCACAAATCTGAAGCATGCCCCCGACATGCTCTGATATATCTGTGCACAGACCTGTGATGTTATCAGTTTAACACATATGTGATTGCTCAGCATGAATACAATATAGAATTTCAACTGCAGGCTCCTAGACACAGAGGCATATTCTGTGACTGGACAAAATGTCATGAGGTCCTACAGTACATTCCCGTTTCTAAGCAAGACTGCATCTAACCTACAGTAGAGAACAAGGCTTTCCTCAATCTGAAAGATTTCCATTCAGTGAAACATACAGGCAGCCTAGGTAGAGTCTTAAGTGTCTAAATAGAAGGTGAGATTTTGATTTCTTGGGGTAAGTATGATTTTCATCCCAAGTGTAGCCAATTTCACCAGAGTTCCATTACTGACTGACTTACATCATCTGCTAGATGACAAAAAATTGCTGGCAATTACACTACAAAGAGTATTTATATGAACTTTTCTTGTACAAAGGCAAGTAAATTTGAGCCTTCTTCAGTACTTTGTTAGGGAAATTTTTAATTAGATACACCACTTTATTTAAAAAGAGAAGCACTAGAAAAACATATTCAGAAATGGGGGGGGGGCAGAAAAACTTACGATTAGCCCAGTTTATTGGAATCACACAGTAGCGATCTCGTGCACTGTTACTTGATACAGCTAAATTTCCTGAGTTTAAGTGATTTCAGGAAGATCCCCACACAGAATGGCCTGTACAGGTCTAGACTCCCTTCTCTCAAAATATTTTTTTAAAATAATGTTTCATGATCCTGAAATAATTGGTGGCCAGATGTTAAGACATTTCATCTGAAATCTTATGTAAACTAACCTAAACCATTTTCTTCAGGACATCTTCCTTGACACCAGGAAAAACTTTTGGTCATGGGTCTGCATTTGCCTGACGGACTGGCTGGCTGCTCTCAAAAATGGAAACATATGTGGGCACGATGAAGGAAAGGATTTGGAAATTAGGCAAAGGAATTTTCTTGCTCCTTTTTAATCTTGTATGTTTTTCTCTCCCCCTAAGCAATAGGTCTACTAAATTTTGGTGACTTTTTATTTTCAAAAGTGCAAAACTGAATGCTTTTGGTGTTATTTCCCAGGACAAAAACTTCACTTAGTATTCATAACTTTTTGCTTACAATTTGATGACAATTTTTAGAGAAAAATAAAGTGAAGGCTCACACATACACTCATTGAAAGAAGGAGACAGGGCAATTCTTATCATCATCAACATCATCATCACTAAAAAGAGCTTGAAGGAACTCACCTCTGTACATCACAAAGAAAGAAGTATTTGGTTTATACTTAAAGGGACCACAATGAAAGTGTGATATGAGATGGCTAACAGCAGAAATAAATTAGGACTTTTTGCTCTAATTTCACCTTCCACATAAACCCCTCTGCTTTGGATTTGTGCTTTCCTAAATTGTTTACACAATGCACAGGCACAGATTTTGTTTCAAGTTCATGTAAGAGCAGATGCCCTTACTTAAGGCTGAGCAAAGAGGAAGTGCATTCCTCCTAAGAGCCTAAATCCAACCTCGCTTGGATTGTCAAGCACACTTATACAAACTGCTTGCTTTCAGGTCAGTCCTAAAATAGAAAGAATATATCTCTCCAGAGGTGCACATTTTGAAAATTATAAAAATTTTAAAACAACCTGTTTTCACATTTCAAAACTCATTCCTTTTAATGCCACCAAAAGACCACCAAGAAAATAATTTTAGAAAAATTTTTAATCTGCCCCCTGAAATTTGCCACCAGCAAAAAACAAACAAACAAATAAATCCCAAAAGCCTCAACAAGAAAACTATTTCTCCGGTTTTTATTAATTAGTTTTTAAAAATTTGGAGAATATGAATTCAGCATGTTGTAGAATTATGTTATACACTGTACTAGCAGATGCTGGCAATCCTTGTGTTTCATGATTGCCAAATAAAATATGAAATAAGGAATATTTATTAGAAATATTTTATATTGCTCCAAATTGGTTGTAACCAATGCACAGCTGAATAAAACCATGAAATCAAAAGAATATTCAATCACATTCAGAAAGTGGATATTTTAAAGGGGAATGAATGAACTTGGACAAAACTGAAGTGTTTAGAAAACAAATAAAAATCACTATTGTTCGAAAAAAATTTCTGGTAGGGGTAGTCTTGACATTTCACCAAGAATTTAGATCTACAAAGTGCTTAACTTGACCTTCCACAACTTAGGTGTCTGAAATTAAGCAGGAGCAAAATTTAAAGGGCAGTTATCTCTTAAGTTTTTTAAGGACTTCCTTTGGGTCTTTCCTTTTTTTTTTTTTTTCCCAATAATTTATTCTATTTTTTTTACCTTTGTATAAACAAACCAAGTGTCCATAAAATCAGGCACCCAGAAGCAAGCCCTCTAACATACAGTTCACTCAGACTGAACTTCAACAGCAAGTATTGATATTATCACTAATTTTAACTCTTCTCTTTTTTTCAAAAGAAACAAAACAAAGTATCTTGGGTCAGATCAGCAACCATTAAACGAAAAAGAAATAAATAATAAGTTAACAATAGAGGGAATGTATTAAAACGAATGAAGAAAGTAATACTCACAACCAAACTCTGTCATCTTAAAAAAGAAACACTTCCACACTTCATATCTGATTGGGACAGAAAGCTTTTCCTTTACATTTGAGACAAATAATTGCACCTCAAATCCACATTTTCAAAGAAGCCCCTAGCTTTCTGCATCTGGCTCTTTCAACAGTCTGTACCTCACTGAGGTAAAAGCAAGTTCACATTTACTATTTCCGCCCCCCCCCAAACACATCCCACTACAGTTCCTTGTAAATTTCAGCATAAAATCAGGATTATCACTGTGGGTTTAGAAAATGACATATTTTAGATCTCACCCCCCCTCCCCGGACTCAAAGTTTAAAAAGGCTTTGCCCAAATTTAGGGGAAATTGAAGGTGCTTGGGCTCTGCCTGCAGTTGGAGTTTCCAGCCCCTGCAGTCTAGAAGGTTCTTCATGAGTACGGACACCACATGGGTACCCAGAGAGTGGGAGGGGAGTCGCCCTGCACTTTTGCCGGTCTATTTGTGGAACTCTTTGACAAGCATATTTCTGGACGGATTCGCTCCTCGTGCAGTAAAATTCATCTAATATCGCTCATGTCCATTTTCGGGAGGCAGAGCATCGACCAACCCAGCTGGTGTTTAAATGGTGAAGGGGGCGGGGGGCAGGAACGAATATGCCGCGCGTGAAAAACTCCTGGCGTAAAAGCAAACGCAGAACTCATGCCCCGAAGAACAGAAAAACACTGTCCCGTCTCCCTCACAGGAGAGAGGGTAGAAAATAGCCGAGTGGCGGGGCGTCGCGACTTAGGAGTCGTGATATTCAGTCTGGTGTCGATACGGAGCGGAACCGGACCACGACCCAAAGCAATGAGCTTTTTCTGCAGCCAAGAGCTGCTCCCGACCTCCAAGTGCAAAAATAAAGTCGGAGGGGGTGGCAGGCGGCGGCGGGGAGGGGAGGGTGCGGAAGGAAGGTCGCCGCCCCGGCTCGCGGGCAGGCCCGCACCGCCTCTCCCACCCCGCCGGCCGGCCGGGGGCCGCGGACCTGCCCCGCCGCTCGTGCGCCCACCGCGCTGTGCTGGACACGCCGCAGCCACCCCGCGCCGCTCCCCTGCCGGCGGGCCCC